ATTTAAGTACAATTTCCAATTCTTAAGAGATACATTATAGCAAAAGTGTTTTACATAGCTCCTTGTTCTGTCTCATAATTATTTGTTGGAAGAATAAACAAACTTTCATTTACATATTGTAGTTGTCATCCATTTATAGGTTTCAGACTCCTGCCTTCCTTTATGCAAGGTAGCCTTATTTTCAAATTTAAATTATTTATTACCTAAATAAATGCAGAATTTGGAATGTATCTATTAAAAATAAAAGTTCTGTATAACTATCACAAGGGGGAACTATTCTATAAAACAAGCTGTTGTACTGCTCTGTATTTTATTGTTACTAATAAATGGGGAAAGATTTGGGACCAATAGATGGAACAGGTTTGAAGGATCAGAGGATATTTTCTATGAAAAACAGAGCATATGAACAAAAACTCATATAATATTTTAGCTAATTGGGACTAGAAACATTTTTAAACAATAATGGTCAAAATCAAGATAGAATACAAAAGAAACTCTGGGATATGCATAATTTTAACACTTTGTAAGCAATGTTACTGCTTTTGAAAAACATGAATCTCCTCAAATTAAGGATGTTCACCAAGTGACAATGAGCATGTGATATGTGGTATAGCAATTATGCCACAGCAAAGTTACTAAGAACACATGAAATTTAATTTTATTTAAAAAATAAGCTACTTAAAGCTAGTTCAAAAAAAGAAAAACAGATTGCAAGAATTATAATAATGTGTGTCAAATTATTTTGGGAGTTGGTGTTTGCTCTTCTAAATCTTATTCAACAAAAATATAGCACTTGTTCAGTACTTATGTGTAATTCCTTTTTTGTCATACAATGATGTTCCTATACTTTCCTCAGCTGCATCATCAGATATATTAAGAGATGCAGCTTATGACGAAACCAGAAATCTTAGAAGAAGCATAGGGTTTCAATAGCTGCAACAAATAATCTTCAATGCAAGTGGTTTACTAACAAGCAAAATTACATTCTATAAAAGGTTGTCTCCAGGTCATCATGACAAAACCATAAAGAAATATTTATATTTTTGTTTCAACTGGTATAACATCCAAATATCTGGTTGGGGGGGGATCCTAACACAAGAATATATATGGTATCATGACACAAACAAATCAACTGAATGCATCATGGACATTGTCTGCAGCATTATTGGCACAGTTTGCCATTCCCTTTTCCGGGATTTTTTTTCTTCTTCCAAAGCCTAGCCAACAATTCTGGAATTCCCAGATAGGTCCCCAACTAGACTGACTCCTACTTATTTTCCAAGATCAGCTAAGTATTGCCAGCTGTTGAAAAATGTAAATACACCCTCAAATTAAGCATAACTGGATATGACTATATAGCTTTCTTAGTAACATAAAGAAATGTCATTTACTTCCTTAGGATTGATTTTTTTATTTCCTAGCCCAAACCTCTGGTTTCTTGGTAATCTTCCATCCAAATGCCAAGCAATTCCAACCTTACTCAGTTTTTCAAGATCAGCCAGATATTTAAGGTTTTTTGTGAGTAGGTGGGTGGGAATTAAATTAATATTAAAATATACGTGAATTTACACCAACATGCTGGAAATGTAAAAAAGTACATGGAACATATTATCATTTATGGTGGACATGCCCAGTTGCAAAAAAATACTGGTCTACAATAAGAAAATGGATCGAAGAAATAATAGACCAACCCATAGACTAGAAACCAGAGATCTTTTTGTTGGGTATTTTAAATATAGTAAAGAAATATGGTACTTAATTTTACATATAATAGCGGTGGCAAGAATAGCATATGCACAGTGCTAGAAAAATGAGAATATACCATCAGAAGAAGAAGTAATAAAAAAAAATCCTGGACTGTGCTGAGATGGACAAATTAACAAAAGAGATAAAAGAAAAGACACAGAGTATTATATAACATGGAACAAGTGGTATGTCTGGTTGGAGACTAGAAATAATAGAGGAGAATAAATATGGAAAGGTCAAAAGTGAATATATGTGTATAATAATGTATAATAATAATAATATGAATTATTCTTAGTAAGAAGTAGAACATGAAGGAAGAAAAATGTAAATAAGAAATAACGGGGCAATAAGGACAAATATTCTAAAGAAGAATAAGGGGGGAAATGTAAATAAATAGATTACCGTTACGCAATCACTGTAAAAAAAGGGGAGAGGAGTATATATTGTGTGTGTATGTGTGTTATGTTTTGCTTTGTTTTGTTGGTTAAAAATAAAAATAATAATAATAAAAAAATAAAATATACGTGAATTTTGTACAGAGATTTTTGACTGAAATGAAAAGACACCATTTAGTATCTATCAGTATACTCACCATAGAAAAGTATACTGATAGCTCCTTTCTATCCAGCTTGATACATTCCCCAGTTTATTGTAGTCTTGTTCTACAATAAACAAATCAGGAGGACGACTAAATTGTAACCAGGATAATTTCATGACTTAATCTCATTGCCAAGACTCATATAAATGTGATCTGGTAACAGTGTCACATCAGTTCTATTTTTCACAGTAAGAGCTAAGTATGTTTTGGACAGTAAACAAAATAAAGGCTTACATAATACAAATTCAAGTGAAAGAAAGAAGATTGACGAAGTTAAGGTTCCAACAAAAATCTCATCACCAACAGATAACACATAACTATGCCAGTGCCTGGGGAAAAAGCTAGGTTTTTCACTGAAGACCAGTATGGTCGGGGCCATCCACATCTCCGGAGGAAACCTGTTTCATAAGGCAGGCATCACGACAAGAAGACATATTTCCAGTATTTACTAGATGACATTGCTTTACCAAAGGGACCCAAAGAATGTGCAATCATTGTGGATAAGTGACTCAGCAAATAATCTGACTCTCCAATGTAGGGCTTTAAAGTGGCAACATATTTCGAATTGCACTGGTTGCTTTTACAGTTGTTGCCAAAGATGCCTTTCTCGCTATATTGTACTATACCAGTGATAGTGAACCTTTTAGAGACCAAGTGCCCAAACTGCAACCCAAAACGCACTTATGCATCGTTGGGTGCCGGGTGGGTTTGACCCATCGGGTGGCCGTGGCTGCGGTGGTAACAGCAGACTGGGTGGGACTAAAAAGTTCAATCAATCAATTCCAACTTTGCAAGATCTTTTTTTCCCCCGCGAGAAGTTGAAATTGACTGATTGATTGAACCTTTTTTTTTTGTACATGGCGGCAGAGGCCTAAAGCGAAAAGGTTTTATAAAACCCAGCGACAGCACACGTGCCCACAAAGAGAGCTCTGGGGGCCGCCTCTGGCACCTGTGCCATAGGTTCACCACCACTGTATACCATGTTACACTGTACTCTGCAATTCTCATTTCAGAACCTATTCTCTTAAGGAGAAGTGCTGCACTGAATATGCAAAACACTGGTATCATAATGGGCATATACTGTATCAATCTGCAACTCAATGTGAGCAGAGTCCTCTCGTTTGGGACATTTCAAACCTTCTGAAAAAGGTTTCCTGCAGAATATAACTCAGGAACTGATTATTTTTAATTCAAGTGATAGTGGGAAGAATGATCAGGAGAACTAACATTTTCTGTTTCCCATGAACAGAATCAGTACTGATGCACATTTTTACCTCTATAACATTTAGATACTCTTCTGGAGTTTTTCTCAGAGCAGAACCAGAAATGCACCTAAATAACTGTCTAGGCTGTACAAAACAACTGGGAAAACTTTCTTCATCAGCATATTTTTATGCCCATACACTAAAACTGAAATTAATTTATCTAAAATAGCTAACTCCAGATCTGTCTGTGAAGTTATTTCTAGAACTTCCCAAACTCAGATTTCTATTATAGTTTTTTGACCCCTTGAACTTTTAAATTGTAGGCTCAAGTGTAATCTTAAATTTGTCCTAATCCCCTTCTCAAAAACTACATCATTCCTCATTCTAAAGAGGAACGAAGCATGAGAAACAAGTATTTGCCCAAAATTGCTCAAGAAGAGAATGACAGAGCAAGGTTCAAAATGAAGTCACCAAAGCTGCCAACTACAGTTTACTCTCTTCTGTAACAAACAGGGCAATCTCACTTTAGCATGGTTGCATATAGAAATGAACACAAATTGGTTTTGACATAACATTCAAGATTAACTTTGTCTCTCAGATACAAATTCAGCAATTCTTAGCCTAACTTGACCCACAGAGTTGTTATGAGTTCACATCATTTTTTCAGTATCTTTGGAGAAAAACTGGGATAAAAATAATAATAAATATGTATTCAGGATGAGAGTACGGTAAGAAACCTAAGATGTTTAGAATAGTGCTTGTTCACATGTATGTCAATTACTGTGAGAAAACTTGAATGTCAACACAAACTATCCAATTTATAAAAAACAACAGAGTTCCAAACACATTTTGAAGCTGAAGAAATTCCTAAACCTGATTTAAAAAAAAGCTTCAAAAGGCATGTGTCAATTCATCTAACCACAGATTTGATAATCGAATGGTCAAATCTATTTTTAGTTAATAAGAAAGTGGTGAAATAATATCCTAAAATAATGATTACAGATTTATTATGTATAATAAACATTATATATCAAAACTTTAAAATTGAAAAAGAGGACAACATTTCAAATGTAGCATTCAGGAAGGATGTCAAACTTTAAAAAATGTGCATATTAGCAGAGACAATACTGCTAAGACCCATTTTGGAGTTCCTAGATGAAGAAGACAGTACAGTTCAGGATCTCAAAAGTGTAGGGAAACCAAAAATAGCTTGTATAGCTCACAATTCCTCCATAAGTTGTCACTTGAATTGTAACAGAACAGAGCACTTATGAAATACATCAGCCAATGGTCATTTTTGCTTTATTCAACAAAAAAGGATGTGCTTGTATCAAATATTGTGATGGTGTTTTCAAATCTGCTCTAAACACAGTAAGAGCCTCTTTATCCTAAGTGTGCATCACCCCATATTCACCCCTACTACCACTTAGATATTGAACTTGGTTACTTACTAGCTGGTGAAGGTGTACTATACCCACTGACTGGCAGCTGGTGTTGCATTCCAGGCAGAGTTCCTGGAGGTGAGAGGCCTCCAATCATGTGAGGAAAGAAGAAATAATGCGGAACCGGATAGCTGCTGAGATGTCCACTCCCTGGTGTAGAACAGGAGCTACTGTTGCTCGCCATAGCTGGCACAATCCACAGGCCTGATCCTTGATAAAAAAAAGACTCACATAAGGGCTGAATGCAAAGTACTTAATATAGAGGTGCAGCCCAGAACCATGAAACTTTGATGCAAAATCAATAAATTTCCTCTTCCCTTGGGGTTCAGGACAAAGTTAAGGAGAAGAAATATGTTCAGTTCACCAGAAAATTCCCCAGGCAAGCAGAGTGTATCCTCAAGATTTCAAAAATATTTCAGGTGCCTTTGGGAACAGATCTTCTAAAAAAAAGCATGTAGGAGAAGCTGCAAAGTCCTCTGCGCAAGGTGGTGATAGAGCTGTAGAAAGAGAAAGATAAGAGTAAGCAAAGATGCAAGGGTCTGCATTACAAAATCAGACTATATTCAAATAATTAGCAGTCATAAAGAAGTGGATTTTTTCAAACAGTGATGTAGCTCGAAGCTTTGGGAACTTTTAGTCCAAAGAATATAAAGAATATAAAAAGAAAAACATATCAACATAACTATTATAATGTTGGAAACGATTTCTGTTTATATGAGACCTTGATTCACATTTTATCTTGTAATCTATATAGATTTCCTTGGTACATACAAATAAATATATATTTCATTTACTTTTTTTTATAAAGGGCATACTCCAATAGATAAGATATCTATGGCCAATATATTCCATATTATTCCTGTTGTACAATTTAAGGAAGTGAAGAAGAGTTTGTTTTCTGCTATTGTACAAAATAAAAAAGTAAAATAAAATTCCATCATCCTGACAAGGATTTACATACTACTGTTCTTTTTTTGCCAATATGCTAAAGTTTGGCCCTTTTTGTATTTTTTAAGGCCCTCAATGCTTTTATTACATTTAATCAACACAGAATAAAGATAATTCTTTAACAAGTATTGGTAAATATATATAAAAGGAATTTTTAAAACAGCTATAAAAAAGTGGCTTAATCTTTTTTTACAGCCATAACAAAATACATTTAACCATAATAAATTATTTAGCAAAGAGAAAAGTTAAGAAAACTTTAAGTTGAGCAAACTCCACCTTACCTATTACAATTCTTAATGTAATGCTGCTGGCAAACTTACCTACAGCAGCTATTACAGGAGCACAACTATCATATAGAGCTATTGGGAGAAGAAGAGACACACTCTGTGACTTTCTGATCTCAGTCAAGTAATTGGGATTACAGCAGGGAGGAGGATCCATCAGAATATGAGGGAAAATTCAAATCAATGCTCAACCCCTGCTGCCAAATCATATTTTGTTCCTACATTCCACTGCATATAATTTCCTACATGCCACTGAGTATAATTTCTTCTTTGACTTTCTTATCAGTTAGTCCTGCTATCAACACCATGTCTTGCCCCTATTCTCCACCCCCATCCCCACCCCCACTTAATTACCAAAAGAGACCATTTATAGCTCTCCCTTGACAGGAGGTGACAGGTAGCCCAGCCCCTCCAGACAAATGAGTTGGAGGTCGGAAGGTTTGGCTACCTGCTGCCCTTGCCTTACCATAAATCATGGGAGGGGGAACAGAATGGAGCCCAGAACACTAAAGGAAATGCTGATTAATGAAAAACAAAATGAAAGGCCTCTTTGCTTTCCCCTTCCTGAAAGAAACAGATGAAGGGAAGTAATTCCAATAGAAGTCTGAATTGAAATTCGAAGTCTGAACCGAAATTAGGGAGGGGAGCTGGCCTTACTGTAGTCTACCATTTCCACACCAAAAACCCATGCTCCACTTACTTCATCACATGCCCAAGAGAAGAAATATAAAATTGCCTTTCTGACAAAAGTACAGCACACATTACTGGAAAGTTGTCCTCAGATCCAGCTGACATGGAGCCTTTGCGAGGCTCCTGTGCATTTTACTAGAGTTTACGAAGGAAAAGGGCCAGGAGACAGAGGGAAACCCACAGATTGATTGCCCATCTACTTTATTGCTTCATATCACCAAGTACACTTCTATCTCCATTCATGTATTTATGCAATATCCTAAACCAGTGGTTCTAACCTTTTTAATGCCGTGACCCCCAACCGGTTGTAAGTCGAGGACTACTCAACCGGTCGTAAGTCAAGGACTACTCAACCGGTGCAACACCGTTTGCAGAATGGGACTTTTGGCGGGCTCAGCAGGGCAGAGACAGCCTGGACAATTCCTATTGGCTTTTGAAAGCCAATAGAATTAGACTCTATTCAAGAGAGTCTATTCTATTGGCTTTCAAAAGCCAATAGAATAAAAGGGAGTAGCACAGCTAAGGAAAAGGGGAAAAAATGGCGGACTGCGTTGTTTGACGACCCCCGTGAACTGGTCGTTCAACCCCAAATGGGGTCCTGACCCACAGGTTGAGAACCACTGTCCTAAACCATGCAGAGGTTTATTTGGTCTTAGGTAAGGATATTATGTAAATCCAAATTACTATTGACAATTCAATAAATTATCAGCAAAAATGATTTACAGTAGTGAGCTGTCTAAACTAAATCAAACTTTTGACTCCAGATCTCAGCTTAGTTACATATTGCTATTTTACACTGCTGCACATGGATGACTTAAAACAAAGCAGCTTCTCAAAACTTTTCCATGCTTGGGATCAATAATGAGATAGCTGACAATTTGCTAACCCTTTCTTTTGGGGTATTAGTAGCCTTCCTAAGAGCCAGCCTGGTATGATGTTTAAGATGGTGATCTAGAGCAGGGCTCCCCACCAACCTTGGCCACTTTACGACTTGTAGACTTCAACTCCCAAAATTCCTCAGCCAGCCATGCTCTAGTCCAGTGTTTCTCAACCTTGACAATTTTAAGGCATGTGGACTTCAACTCCCAGAATTCCACAGCCAGCAATGTTGGGTGTGGAATTCTGGGAGTTGAAGTCCACATGCCTTAAAATTGTCAAGGTTGAGAAACACTGCTCTAGTCCAACCCTCTGCTCAGGCTGGCTGAGGAATTCTGGCAGCTGAAGTCCACAAGTCATAAAGTGGCCAAGGTTGGAGACCTCTGATCTAAAGATTTCTAGTCCTCCCTTAAAGCTGGCTGATCATAAGCCAGTCACTATTTTAGCCCAACCTACCTCATAAGGCTCTTGTTATGAGAAAATAAGAAGTGGGAGCATTATGTACTAATAAATCTGATTAATAAATCAACTGGAACTTTAGAAAAATAAATGTTTCAGAAATGGAGGCAGGGACTATATTATAAGACTGGTGGAATTCAGACCTGATTTCCCCCCCCCCAAAACAAACAGCAGAATAGTTAAAAAACATTATGCAAAAAGAACTCCCAGGGGTAGATTAGATTACATTCCCAATTAAATGGAGAATTGGGCATATTTCCAGATGGCTGCACAACACACTGAAAACAGTAAGGACTTATTCTATTAGAGTACTCTTCCCTTTCCCAAGGTCCAAAAAGTTTGTATTTTGCCCTGGGAAGAAAGGTGCAAGGCAGATTTTTTTCCTTTTGGCCAAGTAAGTTGGCCAGAACCTTTCTTCTGCTTGACATTAAGAAGCAAAAACTCAGCCAATCCAGAAAACAGGAAACATGCTAGTTGAAGCCAAGTAAGTGGAAAGATAACAGATTGGAGCCCCAGACTAGAAGCCATCACTAAAAAAGCAAATCCCACCCCTAAATCATCAATCTCCGTATGACACCTGAAGCTACATTCTTCAGGGATGGCTTCTAACTTCCCAGCCTAAACTTATATTAGTTCCTGGCTTTCTTTTATCCAAGTATTAACCAGACTTTGCTTAGGTTTTAACCCAAATCCCTGCTGGGACAGATTCAATTCTATCAATTATTTATTCCATTTACATTAAAGTCTATGACCAAAAGGACTGTTTAGTGGCTTACATTTAAAAATAACCACTATATATTTAGAATGAGTATTCTAACTGCTATCAGCTCAATGAAAAACCATGAAGTTGCTAGGATCACCTTTTGCCAGCCTTCTAAGTGACAACTCAGTTACAGAGCTGTCTTCCTAGATATTGCCTCACAGCCATTCCAGCATCCAGAAATGACAGTCACAAAGATATTTTATATAATATAAATAGTCTTGGGAACTGATCTAAACAAATTAAATTAAACAAATTAATCAGAGACCATGTGATAGCATTTAGGAATACTATGGTATTTTTTTCATGTTTGGGCTGCTTTTAAGTATTCTATTTTGCTTTTGGTTATGCTGTTTATTATTTTGGATTCTATATCCATAAAGCCATGTAGAGCATTGTTGTGAGGAAGCACAGAGAATAAGTTGTAAAGTTAGAGGATTAATTTTTCTCACTATTAATATTTTACCATTGAATCAAAAGAAAATGTAACATTAGATTTAAATTTAAAGAGAATAAACATTCTAGAGAATAGTTATACATGCAGCTGTGAAATTACAGCATTAATAATGATTTGATGCAGCTGTGAAATTACAGCATTAATAAAGGTTTCCCCAATCCAATATGTCCAACTCTAGGGGGCAGTGTTTATCTCCATTTCTTAGCCAAGGGGGCCAGTGTTGTCCCAAGACATTTCTGTGGTCATATGACAAGCATGATTATATGCTGAGGTACACAGGTGTTACTTGCTGGCCAAAATGGTACCAATTTATCTGCTCGCATTTTGCATGATTTAGAAATGCTAGGTTGGCAGGAGTTAGGGTAAAAAAGGGAGCTCACCCCGTCACGTGGTGCCTGATTTGGATAACTTTGCCCAAAAATCCCTCTAAAGAAAGGATGGGCAATCTGCATGCCATCTTCAATCCTTTTCAACTACTCCCCCTGCACACTTGGAGGCTAAACAAATTAAAACTGCATGCACATGCACATATACATCTTAATCTTTAAGAGAGTTCAGTGGTACAGTATTAAGGCAACAGACTAGAAACTAGAATACCATGTGCTATTGTCCTGCCTTGGCAAGAAGCCAGCTGGGTGACTTTGGGCCAGTCATTTTCTCTTAGCCCTAGAAAGGAAGAAAGGGCAAAAAATCTTGGCAAGACAACAGTAGGATTTTGTCCAGGAGTTGCCAAATGTTAAAACTAACTCAAATTCTTTAAGGATGCAACCAATTTTATCCTTTACACAAAATCCAAAGATGACTGCAAGCAACATGAAAGAATTTACTTATTTTGTACTAAAGCAAAGTAATAAAAATCAATATAGCCCCGTTCAACTGACAACTGCTGAATTGCCCACTGCTACAGCTTATTGTGGAAAGTGCTTTGCCACAGAGGTAATGGATAGGAGACCAGAAAAGGAACAAAACTGCAACCAAGCATGAAGGATACAATAATTCACTAGTGGGATTGTGTAAACCCAA